AATTTAATGTTTTCCCCAGCAGTGCAGAGAAATCTTGGTGATTTCAGCCTCTAACAGAAGTGAAGGGATAAGACAGTCAGTCACTGCAGAGAAGGAAAGCAGCAGAGGAGAGCTGCCTGCTGCCTTCCCACTGACTCCAACCAGCTCTGCCTGCTGTCTGCAGGCAGGAGTTTGCTGGAGGAGCTGCAGCCCACAAAGGCAGAGCCCTGCACTGCCTGGAGGCCTCTTCTCTTTCTCCTTCCTCCCCTGGACCTTTACCCACTGTTGTACAATGGCACCTTGTTATCAAATCTCCAGCAAATACTTTGGCAGGGAAAAGGCTTTTCCACTCTGTCACATCTGCTCTGGTATCTCAGAGCAGATAGACACTTGCTTGTGCCAGTTTCCAAAAAGTTCCTTTATAAACCAAACAGTTTTAAAAACCTCTAATCTTTCCCATTTGGCATTTCAGTTAAACTTTGCTCACCTTTCCTTTGGTACATTTTCTTGCTTATTAGGGGTGGAAGAGGAAGAAAGTTCACCGCCTCAGGGAAAAAGATACAAGCAAGGCACTGGAGGAAAAGGTGACATGAGGACACAAATGCCATCAGCAGTGACTTTGGAGCCGAGTTCAGCAAGAGCAGGGCTGGCTGTGGGGTCCTACATGTGCTGCCTCCTGCTGCCTCCCACCCCTCCTGCTTGTCCACCACAATCTTCCTCCCTGCAGAAGCCATGATTTCAGCGAACTCTGTTGTGAGAAGCAAAGTTGATTTTTTTTCTGATCACTCCAGTCATTTGTCAGCTCCTGGCAGAGACCTCCCCAAATACAGCACTGCCAGCAGCAGGATCTGACCCACTTTTCAGCTCCTGTTTCAGAGAAGAGATGGGCTGGAGCATTTATCTCAGCAGGGCTTCTTCAGTCAGAGAAAGGCAGGCTGGATTTCTCTTATTACGAGACCTTGTTATTTAGTTGGCTTTCTGCCCTGCTCTCGGTCACATCTATTGCCTGAACAAGGGAGGTGAAGCTGAAATTCTGTTCTTTGTGCTGCTACCCAGCGACCATCTGAGGAACTGAGCTCTGCAGCACAGCAGGAGCCTGGTTTTCCTCTAACACCTTCATGGTCACAGCCCAGCTCGTTCCTTGGAGCTCATCCGTGGGGGCAGCAGCCAGGCAGGGGCAGCTGGCATCCCACAGACTGACAGTCCTGGGGCATGGGCACGGCAGGGCTGTTAGGGACTACTGCTGCCTTCCAGGACAGGACAAGCATCTCCAGTAGTGTGTGAAATGCCATATAAACCCAAAGTGTTCTGTACCTGACAAAGGAGTGGCAGGGAGAGGGATGAATGCAGCAGGACAGAGAGAGGACAGTGAATACAGCCTGAGCAGATGAGTGGGGTGGGGGGCAGCAGGGATGTCCCCTGGGCTCATTTGGCAAAGGATGCCTCAGAACACAGGAAAAGTCAGGCTGAGGGCAGCAGGGTGGGAGGCAAGCAGGGAATGGCTCTGGAGCTGCTGTCAGGGGGAGCTGGGGGTCTGCATCCTCCTGCCCACACCGGCAGAGCCCCACACTCCAGCTGCAGCGACTCGGGGGAATTTTTTCATTCTAAAAATTTCTAAACCTCCTTGCTGAGCACCATTCCCTGACAGTGGTGTTGCTTTGTGCCACCTGAGGGCCAGGGCAGGAACCTGCCATGAACTTCTGCTGCTTCAGAGAGGCTCAGCTCAAGATGTGGCAGCAGCTCTCGAGTCCCTGAGCTCTGCGAGGGCTCTGAACGGGGCAGTGCAGGAGCTCCAATGGGCCCCATTTGCCCGGTTTTCACACCAAACACAGCCAAAGGGGCAGCCAACACCACCCCGTGGTGCCACAGCCCACTGACACGTGTGGCTCACTGGTGTGGGTGGCCTTCAGCAGTGACAGCAGTGAGCACCCCCTCCTGCAGGCACAGACACCCTCCTGTATCCTGGCTGCAACGCCAAAACACCCCTGCACTCTTCCCAGCCTTGTGATCACCACCATGTGTGCCACTGGCACGACTTAAAAACACAAATGGATGGAGAAGTCCCAGGGTGACCAGACCATTGTGCAGGGGATGTTTCATCCAGGTGCCAGAGAGACTGGTCACATATTTACTCTGGGTTATTTCAGTGTTTTAGCTGACCTTGAGGGCAGGTGCTACTTACAGCCACTTGTCTGATGCTGGGAAATAACCTGAAGCAGACTTTTTTTAATTTTTTTTTTCTTAACACCAAATATAACAAAAATGTACTTATTGCAGAGAACTCCTGTTTTACCATCCTTGACATATTTTTTTGCCTATCCACAGTCCCTCTTGCTGTTCATAATTGTTCCTCATGACTGAATTTTCCTTCCTCTTTGTTCTCCCCCCCAGCTACTTTTCCACTACTGGGGATTTCTCAGAAATGTTATGCTGCCAAAATTCAATTCTATTCTTAGAAACTGGAGCACAAGGGCAATTGCTTGGAAGCAAAATGACACCTGTGAAGAATGACTTTGTACATTGAATAAAATAGAAGAGGGGCAAATTGGAGGACAGAAGGCCAGAATTCCTGTAGGGCACTTAGTTTCAGGACATTTAGCATATAAATGAGGTTATTTTGGCAAAAAGTATCCTGGTGTAGAATATGTGACTGATCAGTAGATGCTGCTGAGAGCAACTACTTGAAAACAATGGCTTCTCCAGGTTAAAAAAATAAAAAATAAAAAAAATTAAAAAAGGATACAACCTTCATCCCTGATGGAGGTTGTATCCTTCCAACAGCCTTGAGGCACAGACCGTGGCTTTATGCTGTGTTTTATAGGCACAGACAGAAACAGAAACAGATTTCTTGGGAAAACTTATATAGGCAGGAAATAAGAAAGGATGTAGCTCAGTGATGAGCATCACAAACACCCAAAATTTTAAAAGGATGATTAGCATCACTGATAGCCATGATCTTAATGCTCCCACCGATGCTTCAATTTCATCCTCCACTGCTGGGTTATAAACAAAACAAATTCTCAGGCACAGATCAACTCAGGCACTCCAGGATGAACAACCGAATATGGCCAGACACTCGCTGTGGCAAGTCCAGCCCTGCTGCCACCAGAGCAGTTTGGTGCTGCCCCCAAAGTGCTGGTCCTGCTGTAAGATGGAGCCACCAAGGAGCTGTCAGCAGCACACAAAGGGCTCCTGGTTGCAGAGGGTCCTTCTGGTGAGGGAATGGTTTCATTTAAATTGATTTTCCTGAATGAAAGATTTGTATCAACCTTGTCTGGCTTCTCCACTTCTTTAAGGGATGCAATAAATTGGAAAGTGATAAGGGGCCAAAAGGAACATCCAAAATTCCAGTGGCACTTCTAGGAACTGCCTAATATGCCCCAAGTTCCTCGCAGTGACTTGCTGGCCAGCCTGCAGGAGGGAAGTGGCTGGCTATGGCCAGGTATGTACGTGGAAGGAGTGTTCATCCCTGGGAAACAAAGCAAAAAAGCCCTTAGAGCGTCTCAGATTACTTTGTCATCTCCAGAGACCCAAGGGCAGTGAGTACCTGCACTTCCCAGCCCCTGCTCTGACCAAGGGAGCACCAGCAGGGAAACACCTTCGTAAATATTAGTGTGTCCCCTAAAGGGCCTGAAGTGGCTGAGATTTGCACAGTGACTGCTGTGCAGCTTTCCAAGAGCAGCACAGATCCTGAGAGCCAGTTCCTTGCAGGGGAGTGGCAACATCACCCAACGTTCCCTCAGGACAATGGGAACATCACCCAACGTTCCCTCAGGACAGAGGGAACATCACCAAACGTTCCTCAGGACAATGGGAACATCACCCAACGTTCCTCAGGACAGTGGGAACATCACCCAACGTTCCCTCAGGCCAGAGCCCCTGAAGAGACTCAGGCAAGGCAGTTTCTGCAGGACATCAAGGGTGGCATCTCCCTTGTCATGGAGCCAGCATCTCCCCATAGCACAGGGCATCGATGAACCCACCCTGATGCCTGTAACATACTGATCTGATGGAGGCTTTTCCAGGAGTTTTCTGGGAGCTAAAGCAATTGCTAGTACAGAATGTGGTGCTGAAGATCACATTCATGGTAAGAGGCAGCATTATACAAATGTGTCTGAAACCACTCCTTGAATTTTACTGAGTGTGTGAGAGGGAATGGCTCTCCTGAGGTCACCAGAAAATCTGGGGCAAAACACAGATTAAGCACCTGGTGTCCCCAGCTCACCACAGATCCACTCTCTCTGCAGTGTGCAGGGTATCATCACTCTCCTTTATTGCAGCTGCTCCTCTTTGCATCCCTTTGCAGAAATTCCAGCCACACTGAAGTATGTCTGGACGTTATTTAGATATCCCTGTTATATATATGTAGGGATTTATTTAGATATCCCTATTATATATACAGATATCCCTTCAATGCCCTGGCTGGAGGGGCTCTAATAAGAGAATTAAGCATTACACAGAACTTGTCTCTGGCTCACTTCAGGGTGGACACAGATAACCTTTCCTGGCTGGACTCATTCTCCTGCAGGACTTGTGCTCTCTTGATCACTTTATGACTCCAAGCCCAGTTCTCAGGAGTGTTGCCCTTGGGAGGAATTGTGGAGGTTGTGTGGTCTGGTTTGTGCTTTCTGTTCAATGGGCTTTTTATTTTTCTTAACTTCAATGACCTCACATCAGTACAGAGACTTCCCTTACCATTACTTTCTCTCTCTTCCAGGACTTGCTTTTCTCTTGGGCAATTGCCATCTTCCTAGCTAGATGCTGGAGTAGAAAGAGCATGATTCAAGTTTGGGAATCCACGGGGAAATATCAGCAGCCATTAATGAGTGAGAGCAGCATAGGAACCTGCCACAAATTAACAGCCAGGGAAACAACCTAAATCTTTATTCAAGTGAGGCTTTTTTTTAAAATGGGCTGTTATGACTCAGCTGCAGATTACTGGGAAGTTACAGGTAATCTTTGCACGACAAGGAGGGGTCATGTTAGGAGAAAAGGAGGTTTTTGCAGCATACAATGTGTTGTAAATTGTTAGGACATTTATTAATCATATGTGGGCAGAAAACTTCACACACCCTACCAGAATTTACTGTACCAAAGTCATTTCCATATTGTATCTCTGCAAGTGTTATGAATCAGCCAATATGTGACATTAATTATCTGCATTTAGCATTGTGCAAACTGACATAATGATCAATATGGAGTAACACATCTGTAACTGTTTACTGAAGTACAGAAATAATCCCCCAGTTCTCTAAAATATTCTGGAATTGTTCAGTACATGATATATCTAACCAAATCCTGGTTTTGTCCAAAAGTAACATTCTTCCATGGCTGAGAGGTGCAGTGTGCAGTGCTCAACATCTGCTTCAGCAGCAGGTTTCACCACCATGGGGGATCTTCCTCACTAATTCACCTCTTTGGAGAAATGTTTCTTTATGAAGTTCTAGAAAATAGCTTCATGGCTTTTTGATGAAATTCAAAAAGAATTAAAGAATTTGAACTCTTTGAATTCAATTTGAATTGAATTATTTAAATTTCAATTTCTCACCTCCTTCATTCATCTATAACTGGAAACACAAGTTATTTGTCTCGCATTACCATTTTCAGGAACTGTTTGAAAAAATGATGGAAGAATGCAGGATGTTTGGTCTAAGAGAAGGGAGAATAGGTAGAAAAAATACCTTCCATAATGTAGATTTCTCTGCAGACAGTGGCAATCCAAATGTTCCCTATGCCCACTGAAAACAGGGCAAGAAAAAAAAATCATGTTAATTTTCTGAAAAAGTTGTCTAGGATAAATACTTGAAAATAATTTCCTGATTTTTTAAAGAGATCTTTAAAGATATGAGTCTTGGAACAACACAGAAAAGTTTGGACTTTCCTTTTCCGAAGTTCAGAAGAGCTGAGGCAAACTTTGTCCAGGAAAGGTTGAGGACTACATCCCAAGTGGATGCTCTTGAAGTAGGTGATCTGTGGCTTTAGGATCCAGGCCGTGAGGACTGTCCTAGCAGACTTTACAGAGTTACAGGGCAGGAAGAAGCCCTGGACAGTGACAGTCAGCCATCCCATCCCTCAGGGACTCCTTAGGCAGAAATGGATTTGCTGTGCTCAAAGCAGCAGTGCAGAGCAAAGGACTCCCATGGCAGCGTTGGAGCAGAGCTCCCAAGGAATGTTTTCTTCCCTTTTCAGCCTCTGTAGTTCCAGAACTGGGAGTTCCCTCTGTATTTATGCAGAATTCAGCACAAACAGGCCTTTGAACACCACTGAAACAGAAAAATCAAAATGTGATCCTTTCCACCTTCAGAAACAAGCATGTCCCAAACACTCTTATCTCAAAAGCAGAAGTGACAGGCTGTGGAAACATTCAGTCTGGAAATTAATCTTTTGAACAGGAGCTGAGTCTGAATAGATTATATACATATTTTTGTTTGCCTGTTTTGAGTTACATGATGCTATTTTCATCTTCAGCTGAATAAAATTTTATAATGATTTTTTTAAGTCCAGCAAATTTGTCAAATCTATTACTGAAATAAGTTGCACCAATGCTGGTTTTAATGAGTGTAGTTCCTTACCATAGTAGCCAACTTGGCCTTATTCAGTTGGAGGCTGGATAAAAACCTCCTTTGAGCCAAATCCACCTTAGTCAAAGCTTATATAAATCTCTTAATATGAGTAATCCTATGCCTGCTAAACCCAGTGGTTATTTTGGTTGTATCTGGCAAGATAAAATGATCAATACTCAAACTCAGTGATTCTGTCTGTTGCCACATCACTGTACATTAACTCTGTCTGTTTTACAACAGTGTGGGTGTGTAAAAATTCCCACACAAAGTGTCTGTGTTCATGCAGGGCACAATTATGTGTTCTGCTATGTCACACCATGGTGCTGTAAGCAACAGAAGCCACTCTAGGACAGGACAAAACTCCCTTTTGGCATCCACTGGAGCACTCCTGAAGGCAGTCCCTTATCAATTTCCTTTTGGTGCGCTATCAGCTGAAAATTGGTCATGTTTCTATGGTAGCAATGCGAGGAAGGCATATCCACAAATAAATATTTACAGGAAACATCCTTGTTTGGGAAACAAATAAGCACTTGCTCTGGAAATCCTGCTGCACCAGTGACATCCCTGTGGTACTACTTGGTAGCATCAAAACATTCTCTGTGAGAAACAGTGAACTCTGTTTGCACTGGGGTGAGGGCACATGCCTTCAGATACATCATTCCTCTCTGGGGTTTTCCCAGCTGTCTTTACCAGGAACCCTTTCACAGAGCAGGCCAGCCCTTCTCTCTCCCAAATCCATTCATTCCTTTTTCACTTGGGGCTTATCTTGGCTGTCAGTGAACCCAAAGGTGCTCCAGGCACATTCTTTCTCCAGCCAGCTCTTCTTCCTGTTATCCCTTGGATGTGTTTTTGTGGCTGCATCATTAGAGGAGATAACACAAAAGGAGGCCCCACTGAATCACTACAGGACATTTTATACACCAGCCTTGCCTCCAACACTGCAGCTCTTAGCTCACTTGAGCCTTTGTGTAGCTAAGGGGAACCCAGGGAAAACACAGCTTTAGTCCAAATTCTGGTTGTTTGCCCACCTCTAAGTGATTAGGAGTTCACTAATAAACCATTGTAACTCAGTGTAAAGGTGAGCAGAGGCACAAACCAGTATTTTCTGCTGAAATTAAAAATATGCACAGTGAAAAGGTCACATAAATTATCTGACCCTCATTTTCTTCCATGTAACAGAAATACATGACAACAAGAAATATAAGCCAAATACATGCCATTCATGCCACAAAGTAAGTTATGAGGCCATAAAACGAAATCTGCATTCTCCATTCTTTGTACTTTAGCAACAAAAGATGTCCAGCTGCTCAAGGAGATGATTATCTCTACATACAATATATCACCTTCTCCTCTCTTATCTTTTCCTTTGAGTTTTGGCACTTACTTAATCATTGAGGTCTTTTTTTTTTTTTCAGGAACAGGAGCAGCCTTTAGCATGGAAGATATCTGAATGCGGAATCCTACATACAGTAAGTTTCACCTTAAAAAGAAAAAAGGGACATTTTTATAGCTTGTTATATTTAGTCAATATTTGTGCAATTATCTGACTTGTATTTGAACTAGCTAAATAAAAATTCTCTATTAAGATAGATGAGTGTTTTTTTTCCTTGCTGAGACTGGCTTTCCTTTCTTTAGATGGCAATAGCATCTCATGACCCCAACCTCCTCAGCAGAATTCAAATATGAATGTGTTTGGAAATGGGTCATGAACCTGAATACTGAAATATGAGTTCAGAAACACATTGTGGATCACAGTTGGGTTAAAGAACACCTCAGAAATTTCCCATGTTCTTCAAAAAACACAGTCTCACACAAGGAAATGTGTAGTGCTTGATAAGCAATAGGACATAGGAGTCCAGGGCTCTGTCCTCAGTACCCAAACCACTATAAACATCCACTGGAGGCAATGGCTGATTTCCCAAAACTCGCAATTTATATGCATTAGGCAAAAAACCCTCAAGTAATTCTAGTTTATGGTTGTCCAGTAACATCTCTTGGTGTTGCTCAAACTCTTCTTCAAACTCTGCAGTGCTGATCTTGTGTTCCCCACACAGCTCAGCAATACAAGACACCACATGAGAATGATGCTGAGGAGATACTTGATGCTGGAGTGCATCATGCCAAATCTAGATCAGAGTAAACTGGTTTGAATTGAACCTCTTGAAATGCAAAAAAAGGGAATTGCTTTCTCATTTGGCTCAATCCATTTCAGTCAAGGTTAGTCAAGCTTACCTCCTTTCTCGTGGACCTGCTGATGAAGAAGAAAGCCTCCTCCACACCCTGGGGCTGCAGGTCATTCACAGCCACCACATGGTCTCCATGGTTAAACAAACACCCCAGCCTGAGAGGACCAGCCCATTGTGAAACGCTGTGGAGGGCAGGCAATAAAGGAAACACACAGAATATGCAGCCTGTTGCATTTATAGGGCTGCCCTCTGGAAATCACACACATGTTCAATGACTTTGTAATTTTTTTGATCTAGTTCTGGTTGAAACCATCACTAATTATTACACAGCATGCTGGATTCTTTGGAGGCCTTTAGAACAGCATTCAAAATACAAATTCAAGTTCACAAAGAATCAGAGAGAGCAGAAGAAATCACTGAAGTGCCAGCATGCACTGCCCCTGCCCTGTTCTGCCCTGCCAAAACTGCACATGGGTGTCTGCAGTTGAACACTTCTGTGCCTGTCACTTGTTCCCATCTCCCAGACACGGCTACAAGACATCCAGACTTACCATATTCGTCCTGCTGCTTCAGTAAGTTTTAGGTAATTGTTAATATCAGCCAGGGGTACGAAAATATCCAATTTCTGCAGCTGCATCTCATCTGTAATTTGACTGTGAGAGAAAAACATCAGAGACCACAGAATCACAGAACAGCCTAAATTGGAAGGGACTCATAAGGATTATTGAGTCCAACTCCCTGCTCCTTGCAGACTCCCTAAAACTAAATGCTATGACTAAAAGCATGACTAAAGTGCCTCCGGAATGCTGACAGGCTTGGCAAGATGAAACCCACGAACATGTCTGTCTTTGCAACCAGCTGGAGAAGACACTTACCTGAGCAGTATAGACAAGTGAACCACTGAGAGGGGTAATGAGTTTTGCCTTCTCTGGAGGGTTGGCTGCAGGCTGGTGCTGCTTTCTGGGAGTTTGGTACCTTTGTCTGTTTCCAAGTCTCTTGGACATGCACTGTTGTTCTGGCATTTGGGAGGGGATGGGAGCCCATCACGTCTGCACGTGAGCTGGCACGTCCCATCCAGCTGCTTACTAAAGAGGAATGATGATAAAAAATTAAGGGGTTTGACAATTCCAGGCACTCTTGCTGTGATTAAAGCTGGATCAAGCAGCCCTCAATAAAGCAAAGAATAATAAGTTCTTGTAGAATATCCAGTGGACGAAATAAAACCTAAGTAAAATAAACAGCCCTTCTAAAAATGGACCATAAATCTCAAAATAAACGTTTTCAGTATGCAAAAACTATTTATTAAGCCTGGAAACATTTCAGCTAACAGCATGCCTTGACAAAGAAACTGAGTACAAATTGTTGGCCTTGGCTGTACTGGGTTCTGCAGGGATGTAAAGCTGCCCCTTAGGAGATGTGATAACTCAGAACTACTTCAACTCATTTTAGTTTTATTTGATAAGCCTTATATTGCCTGGAGCTGACTCCCCATTGTGCCCCAAACAAGACTTTTGGGGTTAGTAGCAAAAGCTGTTCTTGGTACATTTTAACTCAGATGGCATAACCTTGTGAGGTTTTTATAGTTATTCCCTCTGGGGGGGGGGTCCCAAAGACACAGACAAGCTTGAATTAATCTATGGGGATTGTCTGGTTAGTGGGTCTGCATTTCCAGTTGCCTCTCCCCATGTGGATATCAGCTCTGACAGACAGCTCTCAGCTACTGACCACTCCTCTGGCTCAGGAGGAGTTTACCCTGCAGGCACAATTCTATTCAGTGTTCACTGCTATACTGTGGAGGTTGTAAAGTTTCCTTGTGGCCCTGGAACTGTGACACAAAGTTCAGGTCCTTCCTTCAAAACACACGGCAACAGAGCTGTCCTCTGCATGGCCAAATGAAAGGGAGGATGTGTCCTAACCCACACAACTTCTTAATGGAAAAGTTGGGAGCTAATGCCCCATCTCTACCTTTCTCTTTTAACCTCTAGATAATGCTGCCTGCTTTGGAGAGCACCTGTCTGAAAGGCTGTTGGAGTTTGGCTGCAGTGATTCAGTAAAGTGGTGAGCTGTTGTCATGAAAACCCAGAAAAAAGTATGAGTCACCAAAGGGTGCTGCATTGTATGGTCAGAGCCTGTGTAAGTGCAGGAGTCTGCAGTGTGAGCTTAAATTTCATATTTATGAGCTTGAATTTGACTCCAGTGTTCTCATGAATGCTGAACTTTGTGAACTAAGACCCAACAAGGACTCCTTCAAACAAGATGCAGCCTCTAGATCTTGTTATGCAAATACCAGAGATGTCAGCTCTATCTCTATTGCTGTGCAACATTTAATTTCCAAAACCTTAATTAAGTTGTTACTTACAGTGATTTCATTGACATATAAATGTTCTCCTTTACTGGGCCGTTCTGCACTGGCTTCTCTTGCTCAGGGACATCAGACTCAGCTGCAGGGTCAGGCTTTGATACTTCAGTAGTGCACTGTCAGAAACACAGCAATACAAGACATTAATGTGATTGCCCTGCCTACAGAAGAAATCCCCATTAATTTCCTTATTTTGTTCAGTGCTCATGCTGTTTAAACATATTGGCTAACATAGCCTGGGATTCCTCAAATCAGACAATTCCCAGAAACTGGGAGCTAGAAAAGTGCTTGAAACTTAATGCTGGAACTATTACTGGGACATGACCAGCTATATTCTGAAGTACTACCACCAAAAATAAAAAAAAAAAATTGTTGTCTTTTAATTCAAGCAGGCTAAAAAAAAAGGCTTGTACTTTGGGTGTGCTTGACTTAGAGCACTTAGATTATATGACCTCATCACCATTGTTAATGTCCTTCAATCAGATGTGCAGTCTGTGACTTCTGCAGAAAACTGACCACTTCTCCTGACCACTTATCTTCTCCTGAAATTAGCCTCCCAAATTGTGTGTCAAAATTTGTATAAAATTAACAGCATGATTTCTCCTGCTGCCTTGTTTCACAGTGAAATGTAGATGCCAAAATGTACTGCAGTGTTTTAAAAGTACTGCTTTTATGCAGCTTACTGGTGTTTCAACAGAATTACATTTCAAAATACATAAAACTAATGTACTGTTACATTCTCTAAATGAAGCTTCCAGTTTCAGAAAAAAACACAACCCTATCCCATTATGCAACAGGAAAAAGTCATTAACAATGAAACAGTCAGTTTGGGGAATTTCAATAAAATCAGCAATGTTTTTGTCAAAATGCCACTTTACACCAGGAAGATCCTTTGAATGAGTCTAGTGTTTTTGTTTTTTTTTTTTCTTGTATAAATATAAACTCTATTACCTATTGCTTTATCTATGTATTCCTTTCCCAAGGTACAAGTGGTTCCTCCTACCAGTTCCTCTTTGGCACATTAAATGTCTCCTGTGTCCTTGGAGCTGTTAACAGACCAGCAGAACTCACAGCTGATAAACTACCTTAGCTAAAACACTGCTGGGAGTTTGGTAATAATCTTCTTCGTCCTTTTTGATGTTTTCCTCTGGATCTGACAGCAGCAGGTTTTCCTTACTTCTTCCCAGAATTTTATCCTGCTGAAAGAATGGGTTTGTATTTAACAGGCTCAGTTATACAGATTAACATACATTTTCCCTTTTTGTGGAGAAGTAACAGAATCAGCAAATATTCACAGAAAACATGGTAAGATACATTTCTCCTTGAAGTGAGATATGCTCAGAGACAGCCTATTTTAGAAACAAGGTTTCTATATCTGTGCTCCTGCCTGTATTTTTGAAATTCAATGCACACAGGAAAAAACAGCCACTGGTATTAGTATCTCTCACAGATGGATTAGTGGTAACCAGGCTGTTGCATTGATATCATGATCACAACGTATTATTTTGTTTAAAAATCAAGTGTTTTAAACACTTTGTGTATGAATCTGCTTGAATTTATGGTCTTTTGTGTGGGAAAAGATTTTCTTTTTGCAATCAGTTCTGAAGTCCTTACATTAAGAAGGAAATCCAGGGGTGAATTGGGATAAATTTGTCCTTTCAAAGCAGCCTTTAACTGCTAACAAATAAAGAATGAATTTGGGATTTCCCTGACTAATGAGAAATTTGTTATCTCATACTTCTCTGTTAACAAAAAGATACTGCAGAAGACTGGAGCTCTGACATAGAATCCTTTGTGTCCTGAGTGATATTCAGCCTTCATAAATACCTGAAACATTAAGTTTGAAGCAATTTGGTAAGCCAAGGAGAAATTAACCCCTCCACCAAGTTTACCTTTTCAAGTCGCAAAGAGAAATTATTTATATTTATGTCTCTCTATTGACTTCACTATAGTGAAGAATATGGTAATTTGTATTTAGCTGTCTCCCAGTTCAATTCTCTGAGCCAAGTTTGTGATGCAACTGTTTTTTATCTCTGCACTTACATCCTTAATTTCCATGGTGAACATTTGAATAATTGCTAAATATGCCATAAATATATTACTGTTTTCAAGGTAAAGTAAATTAAACTATTTACTTTCTTACATGTAACAAGAAAAAAATGCCAATGAACTTTAATTAAGGATGATTATTGTATTTTTTTTTTCCCTTATTGGCATAGATGGCATTAAAATCAACCCATACCGTGGGAGGCAGGACAAACTTCAAGTGTCTGTGGAACCATAATATGGATTTACAGTGGGGAGAAAGCAGACTGAAGAAAATTTGGCTGTAGAAAAAGATGGAAATGAGACCTGGAGATCAACTGAGTCATTGTTACCTAAAAGCTCCTTAATTAAAATGACAGTGTTGCCCTTAGGGAGAGGAATCCCTCTTTGAAAAAATCAGGTGTGTACCAGATCCCAAGGGTGCCTTGCTGCCTGAAATACAGTAATGCACAGCATAGGGTGATGCAGGGCAGGGCTCCCAATTTTGATGTATTTCAGATGTTGAAAGCTGTGTTATCAAAAAAGCTGATACTGAGTCAGATGAGGTTTGGTAGCTCCAAAAGGTGGGTTGAAAAGGAGCCAGGTCCCCAGATGCCTGCAGGGTCCCTGCCAGCATGACTAAACTCACTGACATGGAGAATCCTGTTTGCATAAGTGACAACTACTTAACAAAGAGTTTTCAAGATCTGGCCCTGGATGAGGGAACCACCAATAAAAACCAAAACACATCAGAAGCTTGAAATGGGGACTGACACTGCTAAAAGGAAGTAAAGACAAGGGATTAGTTAGGATGTCAGTTGGCTCCATGTCACTGAGCAGAGAATAGGTCTGGAGATGTCAGCAAATGTTAAACTTATGAGGCAAAACAAATATTTTTATCCAATGGACAAATATTGTTGTTTTTTGTTCTCTATACAGCAAGGTTATTTATTTTCACACATGCCAAAACAGAAACATGAGCTCTGTGCTATTCCCTCTGCTTCAGGCTAAAAGTTAAAATCCAAATTCTTTATCTTCTAACTCTCATGGTCAGCCTGTCCTAGCCTGAACAGCTGCATATAATACCTGCTCTCTGAGGCATTGTAAGTATGAGAAAAATTAAAAAATAAGACAGAAAAGGTATGCACAAGGAAGAAACACAAAGAAATTCTTGACATACACCCAGAGCAGGACTGGTTAAAATCAGACCAAGGGTTAACTCAGTGCATTTCAGAGCTCAGGCTCACAATTGGATTACTGCAACTTTATAAAGTACTGTGCATCAGCTGAGCTATGCTGACTGCCCATGGCATTGCAATGTAGTTCCAACTATTCACTCCTTTCCACTAAATTTAGCTGTATTATCTCATACTTGCTGTCAGCCTATATACAAGGATGGTGATTGCAGCGTGTGATTTACCACCCTGTTAACTGTGATAGCAGAACAGATTCTCTGCCCTGGATCTCAGCCTCTCCAGGTCAGAGTTCAATGCATAAACTGTCAGTAAAGATGGGTTTAAGCTGCAGAGTGGTGTGGTAGAGCCTTGGTTGTGCCTTCTCTCCTCTTGACTCCATGGCAGAGCAAAACTGCTGCAGGCACTAGTTCAGGGAACACAGGTCAGAACACTTAGCCACTAATACAAGATAACATTCATCTTTTTATCTTTCCAAATCACTCCCACTGGATATGGAAGTGAAGTTACTTGAAGACATATTAATGCTGACAGAAGGTCAGTTCTAAGATGTGCCTCAATTTAACAAGCTCTTGCTCTGTAATTTAGTTATATTGACTCGATTGCTACTGGCAAAGGCTGAAGAAATAAAGCGTTTAGGAACAACTGTGGCACAGCTGAGACAAGTGCAGGGAGGGACAAACCCTCAGCCAGTGCAAATACAGAACCTTCTTCATCAAGATTGTGAGAGCTGCCACAAGTTGCACTTGCTGCACAGAAACTCTGAGGCTCTGACTCCAAAACCCCTGAACACAGGCATTTCAAGCAAGTTTTAGAAGATCATTTTCAGTGGTAAACAAGAAAACAGATGAAATACTCAGGCAGCTTTCATGGTGGAAATCAACTCGATGTGCTAGGAAAGTGGGTGGACAATCTATGGTCACAGATATCCAGGTGAGATAAAATCCAGTATTCACTTCTGCAGATGGAAAAAGGCAAGAGCTGTTTGATTTGTTCTGCTCACCAGGCTTGGAAAAACTCCTCTTGGTGAGTCACACTGAGCCTGATGGGGGCCAGGATCTGAATAAGGCCTGTTCTTCTCTTCTGAGGAACCATTCTCCTGTATACAAAGGAAAAAAGTTGACTCCTCATAAAGATACACTGGAGGTGCTTGACCCACATTCAGCTTCCTTTTGCCTGGCCAGTTGCACAAAGTTTTGTGACTACAGAAAGTCAGCAATTCCTTGGCTGCTATTTCACCCTGACACTGGACTGCAATTGCTGTGGGACAGCAGCAATGCTTTCCCTCCCTTCTATTTAAATATTGAGGGGAAAGTCAGTAAGGCAGAGAGGAATTGGATCTGAACTCTCCTCTAAGATTTACAGCCTAAAACGAGAGAAATAAAAGCACAATCACAAATCAGGAAGAATGTGGCTAGCAGCTGCCAAAACAATCATCACATGCCTCTGCCAAGGCATGTCAAAGCAAATCTTCAGGAGTTTACTTAACGTTCACTAAAATTTGCCAGTCAGTTGAGACAACCAATTAGTATTTTCTCTCATTGCCTTTATTACACACAGACTTGGCTCAAAAGTATTTCCCTTGTGGGGACTCTGGTGTTACCATCCAGGTCCTACTCAGGAACCCCATCAGAACAGACCTCCCAGGTACCCACTGCAGAAACTCTGAACAACTTTTGATAGAAAAAAACAAACAAACAAACAAACAAAAAACCAAACCTATGCAAAAGAAATGTCGCAGTCATGCCTAGGCACAGACTCATTAATAAGGACATTATTAATTTGTTTACCTTCTGGTAGCTTTGCCTGTCAGGAAGGCTGGTCATATCTACAACACTCAGGAATAGTGGCAAAGAGGAAGTCCGGCTTCTGACTTCTGGATTTGGAAGATCTTGGTTCTAGAAATAAGGGAAAAGCAGTATAAGAAAACAGGCACCTGCTGGGTGTGGGCTAAAATGTACTGACACAAATCACTAGAGCTAATTTTATTTCTAATGGCTCAGATGCATTGTCTGCACAGCATTTTTCAGGCAGACATAAATTTGCCCTGCTTGCATTTTGAGCAGTCTGGAGGTACAGGGATGTGAGTACTTAGTGCTGAGAATAAACTGGTGGGCCTGGCTGCCTGACAAGGTGCAGAAACTTGGGCCTGAGCTTGAACTACCAAGGCTTCCAGCTGATTTACAACATTGACAGACTGATGTAAAACAACATGTAAATATATCCAAAATGCACCAAGTATAACACACAAGTTTTTACTCTGATGCATCACAGGTGTGGTTCATTGCAGCATGATATCAATCTTCTCCTCATTTCCATATAGCTTACTCTTCAAAGAGATTTCTTCAATGTAAAATCAATCCCAGTGCAGACAGACTGCAATGCTTGTTTGATGTATAAAGCCAGGGTACAGGATTTACATGAAAATGAATTTCTGAATAACCAAGGTCAGAGGCAACTGGCAAGGCAAAGATCAGGAAAATTCTTTTGCACAGTTTTGTAATGAAAAAAATAAATGGCTTATTTTTTTCTAAAATAAGGTACAGTAACGTGTCACCTGAGGGCAGCATCCACTTTTGTCCTCCCTGCAGACTGAAGATATCAGAGTGACCCAGTCGTCTATTTCCTGCCTGAAGTTGGAACAAGAAGAGTGAAAACTTACTGACAGGTAACACACAAGGGTACTTCTTTTGCCTACCTACTTCTTTTTATGGGGCCCGAAACAAAAATTCCTGAGATCACGGAAAAACCCTGCACCTGCCTTTCAGGAAAGAGTGCTTGTGTGGTCGTAGCCAGATGGCAAAGTCTGACTCAGAGAGCTTGGGAATGCATTTGGGCTGTCAGGATGAGAAACACGCCATGAAAGGACTGTTGAAGCTGTTTTTCATGCTTGCAGTGGATTTAGTTGGATTAATTCTGGAATGCTTCCCATCGAGTGTGAGCTGTGAGAGCCACACCCCAGGGGAAGGTGTTGGGTGCCACGCTCAAGTAGCGCTCAGGTATGTGTTTTTCTTCTTATCAGGATTTCACACATCAGCTGCTTTTCTGCAAAAACACAAAAATTCCCCTGACATGCTCATGACTGGGAAATTCAAGAGGAGATGCTGGGAAGCAGCAGTACAGGAGCACTGTGACAAACCTCCTCCCTCACCTAACCGAGCTTTGGTTGATCACCTCCACAGAAACAGTTTCTGTCCCTGGTCAGGACTCAATTCCAGCCTGAAAAAGCATGGACTGCACCCCCCTGATGCAGCAAAAGTCCCAGCCAGCACTTCTGGGATCTGTTTTCCTTCAGGAGGACTTTTGCCTTCAGTCTGCTTCCCTTGAGTAATAGCCTAGTTTTCAGGCAATATTGTGGTTTATCCACGAGGAGCAGAACCTTCTCGAACTCCCAGGAGCTCCTGGGCGAGAAGGCAAAAGTCTCTGTTCTTTCCTGTCCCCTGACCAGCATGGTTTAAATGCCACTGCCATCCCCATTGCCAGCCCTGTGCTCCCTCTGCTTCCACATGCTGGGTGCTGTGACTGGGTGGCTGCAGGGAAGGTGAGCTCACCTGCCTGGACCAGCAAAAAATTAACCCAGCCATGAGCAAGGGGAGGCAATGCCATAGAAAAAAGCTGTTTTCCATTGTATCAGGCAGCTGAATCACCTCATCCCAGAGCTGTGCCATCAGTAGCTGAGACACAGAAGGGCTGTGAAGGAGCAGGACCCTTCCTTGGGGCACAGCTTAGTGCTGCATTAGTTTAACAGCATTGTCACTGCTTTTGCACATGGTGCCATGCCCACCTGCTGTCCCCAATGAGGTAGTAACGCCTGTTTCCAGTGCGGATGGACATCACCTGCTCAGGAAGGCACTTAAACATCTTCCTCATCATTTCCATAATTTCAGCATTACTTATGCCAACTTGAATACTTATGATTCTGTGAAGATAACCGCATGAAACATCCTATATAACTCTACACAGTTACATACAATAGACACACACGTGCATGTCCATACTTTACTCTGTGCCACAGCATGATATGATGAGATCTGCAAGGGAAGACTTAAATATTTTTCCACAGAAAAAGTTGCTCAAGAAAATAAATGCACACATTCAAAAGAGGTTGTCTTTAAATGAAGAAAATCTCCAGGCAAAAAAAAAAATATAATATTTATATACAAATATATTTTATATATATATATATATATATATAAAATATATAACTTTTCCAAAGTGCCCACACTATGGATCCTCATTTCTGGAAAAAGGGGCTTTTTGTTTAATTCAGAATCTTGAAAAGAAACAAAAGTAAGAAAAATTTATTGTGGAAGTTTTTTAACCGCTATAAAACAATAGATTTGATTTGAAACTAATTGTATATTAATAGTATTTTAATGGAGGGGAAGAGGAACAGAAGTACTCTTGATGGATACTTGAAGCACTTGAAGCACTATTTCCATTAACTTCCAAGAAGCCAAATTAATAAAAGTAATAACAACAATAATTATGGTAATAATGTAACCACAGACCACTGAGCAAGCTGCAATATTTTTGAAAGCTTCACAATATAAATCCTTTTAATGGAAGAAGCACAACAGCAATGTGGTGAGTGACCTCCTTGCCTAACAATACTCCAGGAGGTTGGAGTATTAACCTCTAGATCTGACAGGAAAATATTTACATTTCCCATTACATCTTCTGTTTCCCTTGCACATATCTCATACCACCCATGGCCTGGTAAAGGGTGCCAGTCCAAAGCCAGAGACAATCAGTCTTGCTGCAGGAGGCATGTGCTGACAGAAAGGAAATGACCAACCCAAACGAGCCAGGCAGGGCAATTTCTTGTCAGAATAAGAGGCAGTGAACAACCATAATCAGCCCAAAGGGTTATGAAAAAGTCAGGAGACCTCTGCACAAACCTGCAAAGCACTTTGTGAAGCTGCAAGCTGGGAAAGGGTGTGTGCCACAGCTGAGAGTGGCACAGCCTGTCCTTATTCACATGTGAATGAAAGCATGGCACTGCCCTCACAGGAGGTAAAACGCAGGAACACAGCCTGTGGGATGCTGGAGCCAAACCAGGTATCTCACTGGGAGATACATCACAACGTGACTCACACAAAAGTAAATTATAATAAAGCTATTCAGGAGTTTCACTTCTATATATATCATAGTTGCACCCAAAGCTGACAAATCCCAAGGGACTCTTTTGTGGAGTTCATTGGGTTTGAATCAAGAACCCACTCGTGACTTGTTTGGTCAGGAACAAGTGCTTGTACAATCAGTGGCCATTGAAGAGTGCTGATATGTGACTTAAAATAAAAAAGATGATGCATTTGAGCTACATACTGATCAACAGCTATGGAGCCTTTCACGTGTTGGCCTTTTAGATACTTCAGGATGTAATTCCCTGTGCTGGATTTGGACAGGACAAAAAGACGCCTTTTCCAGGAATTCTGCCAAAGAGAAAGAATTTGTCTCTCATTAAAATTCAGGGTAGCAGATATGAGGGATTGCTGAAATATGATTAATCTGAGCTAGTATACCTGTGAGCTGAAAAGTTGAGGAGGTGGTGATTTGATGAGGAATCCGTCCTTGCAGACTCCACCTTCAGGGCAAAACGTATTTTGAATTCTCACTAATCAGAGAAAAATTAACAGAACCATTACTTAACTTGCTGACAGTTAATCTCTTTAAAAAGACCTCTTTGAACTGGAAATTGTTGCTTAGCACTGGGTTTCTGTGCTTAAATGGTTATAAGACAAACATAAATCAAGGCTATAAAATATAGAGTCAGGCCCTGCTTCCCTGATGTTAATGCTGACAGCTGGCCCAAAGTGCAAAGTAATGGTAGTGAAAATGTAGGGGCTCAGAAGATACCATGAGCTGCTGTCTTATTTAACTTTAGGGGTCTGGTCTTCTTTAGCTGCATAATTAGTGATATGAAATGCACCCCTAAAGAAATTCATAGATGGCATTCAGTCAGGTAAGGAGAGATCATCTCACAACTTTACTACTGACAAATTTTAATATAAGAAATTTTGTACCTGCAGAATTTCTTTTACTTGTAGAAGCCATCCTGATTGTTTCTTCCACCCAGATAACAAAGAGAGCAAAAATGTTGAAGCTAATTCCTTTCAGTTTGCTTGCTGCTGAGCAGCATTTCACTGCACACACAATTGCTGTTGACAAAATAACAAAAATCCTACAGTCACAACAGTTAATTTTCATGCTGATGATCAAAATACATAAAACAGCTACAATAACTATTAATTTAAATATATTGATAAATAATTTATATCCTATTAAATTATACACTATATGCTACATTTGTTATTTTATAATACAATCACAAAATTACAAATAACAAATATTATTTACTTTCGTAGGCCAAAAAGACGATTTGCCTAGAAGTGATGAGGGCTGCCAAGAGAACTTCACTTGGCCCTTCCTTTTGCACTAGTCACAACACATTTAACCTAGGAATACTGCCTCCATGTATGTTACTGACACTGCTTTGCCAGTATGATCAGTCCTGTATAAAACTGACATAACTTGGCCTAAAGAGTTTAAAATATATGGTTATAATACTGTGGCAATTTGAATAATTTGCAAGTTTGTCATATTAATACAATACCTTTTTAAAAGTTCCCCTTTGCCTTACCTCAAAACTCTCATCCCTGCAAAATCAGATCTTGCCTGGAGGTTGTTGTACCTACAAGGAGGTTACACAGACCCTCTTGTGCCACCTGAAGCCACAGAGCCTCTCCTGGGAAAATCTGAAGGATTACAAGTGCTGTTCTCTGGTTCTTAACTGAGAACCCTGGCTGCAGTGAGAGATTTAAGGGCTTTCCTCTGTTTCTCTTCCTTCAGTGATTCACTCCATGGTGCTGGAAGTAAACATGGTCCAGGCAGGAGTAGGCTGGTCAGGAATGGGTGGGTTATACACGGAATTTTACCCCTAAGACACAACTAAAGCTATAGACCTTCATTCCTCCTGCTCCAGGCTATAAATGGGAATGAACTACTGCAAGCTTAGGTTCATCAGTGGTTTCTGTACGTTTTTTTTTTTTTTTTTTTTTTTTTTTTTTTTTTTTTTCAGAGAAACTTTTGCAATTTTTGCCTTTTGGGAAGAAAATTTGTTGTACAAATGCCGTGATAAACTGTTATAAAATTTGCTTCTAGAATTTTCATCTGTTGCCTAGCAGAAAAATAAAAGGACAAAAAAGCAATATCCAAAACTAAAAATGACTGTACACAAAGTCAATAGTAGGGCCACACACCAGGGGTTGCAATGAAAGGTAATGTGTTGCTCTGCTCAATGTGACTGACAGTCACCTCAACTGGCAAATGCTGCAATTACTACAGAACAATGTTCCAAGAGTCTCTTGACAGGATAAAAGTCTCTTCTGGATGTCAGCAAAAGTCAAGATTTGCATGTGGGAAGACAAATGTGAGATTAGTTGTGCTATCTCACTCTGCCTTTTGGGAAAAAAATTTAATTGTTACATCTAATTGTCTTTTCAATAGAAAGCAACATTGTAAACAGGTTATGTTAATTCAAAATGCCAATTCCATGATTATATCCCCTCAGATTTTTGTATGCCAGGCATTAAGGGATTTGATTGCTTCAAACCTTTTGAAATGCAATGAGACATTTCAGTCAAAACGCAAATAAAATGCCTCAAATCATTGTGATGAAAGCTATTACAAAACTTCAAAAATTTCCAAGATAAGGAAAACAAACTGTGCTAATACTTACAAGCAAAATGTCTTCATGATGAAGAAGGTTATTAGAGAAGTACACCTTCAAGTAAATCCAGTTTCCCTGTGCTGCCTCCTGCAGCAAAACATGGTGAGTCCTTGCCCTGCTTTGTGACTGCCCTCTTATAGTCCATGTAGAAGCACAAACACCCTGAAACCTGACCCACAAGGAAATTCCTGTTTCTGCATGGGAAGTAACTAAAGACTGCTCTGGAAAGGGGAAATCCAGATTAATATTCACTTAGAAGCAATGAATAATATGCACATTTGAGACAGTGATAAATGTCTCCCACACAGAAAAAAAAAAAAAAAAAAAAGCCTGGAGACAGCCTGGTTTTATTGGTTCAGCTTTCTGAACAGTCCCTTCATTTCCTGAGCTGTTTCTAAGGCACAATATCCACCCATGGCTGGAATATAAAGCAGCAGTAAGAACCCTGAAAGATCATAAAAGTACCATCAATTGAAATAAATTTCAGATTTAAACAGCATTCAGTTAAACACACAATGGTGAAGCAGGATTTCTTATGCTGCCTATGTCATGACAAGGTAATTTCAGAGTTAGTCTTGGTCAAAAGTGGATTGTTGGGATTCTCTCCAGAAACATTCAGTGTATCAATAATGAAAGTGGATTTACACACTAAACCATCTGGCTAATACTGCAGATGGCAATGGAATTGCTTTCCAAAAGAAAATAGTCATAAATTTGATCAGGGAAAAAAGCTAAAACACCCTGCAGCTTTTAAATCACTATTCAGATGGAGGGCAAGGGTCAAGGGTTCCTCACTCTGAGTGGGTTCCTTCAGGCTCATGGGCTGCACAGCTCTCAGCTGTGTCATTATCACCACTCAGAGGTCATGTCTGTTACTATACAATTTTCTTTTGTAATAATATTATTTTTTTTCTGGACACAATCTAAAGCAATGCTCATCTAGCAGAGATCCTGGTACTTACACAAGGGGATGTTTTTCTAGTTATATTTCTACTCTAAGTTAATCTTTGTATGTTTCTTTCCTCTCTGGCAGTATATTCAGGTATTTTATGCTGATCTTTCTATATCTCATGTATTGGAACTGGAAAGACAGTTCTGGAGTGGGGGAATATTGTTCACAGAAATTTTAACACAGGCTAGACCTCAAGCAAATAACACTAATGAACTATAAAGACATGAAAGAGCCTCTGGAGAAGTAACAAATACTGAAATGGTGGCTGGCCATGGTAAACCAGGAACATCCCTAATTCTAGAAAATAACTTGATGGAGCTATTTGGTAGAAGCAGCTGGGAGAACACTTTTACATGCACTGCTACAGCACTGTACAATTTACTGTATAAAGGGCAAGATTAGGCACTGGTGGAACACGGTATTTCCAATAAAATACTTCCATTAACTTTGGTTTACTCCAAGAGAGGATGTGGCCTGTCCAACCCGAGTCGCCTAATGCCAAATTACTTTTCTAATCTACCTTTCTCCTGACCCTGTAAACCTCCTCCTGAAAAGATGTCAGAGACCACCTGCATTCTTTAAAGAGAAAGGGACAGGATGTATCTTGGTTGGTTTTTGCTTTACAAGATCAAGTACAAACATGCAGATATACAAAAGAAATTTTTACAAAAAGGTCTTTATTGATGTCATGCTCAATACTTCCACAAATCATCATTTATTTAATTCAAACAACTATAAATTTGACTTATGAAAAAAATATATGTCTCACTATGTCACAGTATTTGTAAGAAAATAAACTTAACAATTTGGTAACTTGGCTTTCTTTTTCTCAGAAGATTGCAAGGAGTATAGAGTACATTAACTGGGAAAAGGGTGAACAAATAATTCTTTATCAGTTTAACCAAATCATTAAACTTACTTTTTTTACCTAGCTACCAACTAAAGTGAATATAAAACGTAGAAATATAAAGATCAAGAACATAACTCTAAAACACAAAATCAAGACCGTACAGTAACTAAGAAGGCACTTCTGCTTTCTGATTCAAGTAAGCATTTCCAGTTTTGGCAAAACTCCTCACAACTAGAAGTTAAATCTAAATGTGCATTTGTTGCTGGAACATATAATTCTACCTTTTCAACATTAAATTTTAATGTTTTAAAGCCTTGTCATTATCTTTCTGATGGTTCAAAAGCTTTGAATCAACAAGCAGACATTTTTATTTCTGCAAGCAGAAGAACTGCAACACCACTGTTTCAGGTTGTTCTCTCAGTCAATTGTCATTTGCAAGGCAAAATATCTTTACAAAGGCACTTTAATACATTATCATCCAAGTTAAATTTGCCAGTCTTTTAAAAAGATTTTGATTGTTCTATTTCTTACATTTCTACACTGTTCATATAATAATATAAATAATCTAAAAACATTGATTTTTGTATACATTCATCTTATACTAGAATGATGACTAAGTAAACTGACTTCCAGATTGAGCATAGAGCAACCATTGGCCTTCATGAATAATGTTCATTAAAAGGGAATTAATATATTAGACTAAGAAACACCCTTTTAAATAGCTACAAACTGTTTTACTACTGGACAAACCCATAATATGATGGTCTTTGGAAATTTCCAAGGAGGTTATGAGCTAGCAGTAAATGAGAAGGAGTCTCAAGATTTTTTTGTTTTTATTCTTAATTTACGATCTGCTTTCTGGGAAAAAGCTTTATGGGTCAGGTAGCTGACTCATAACATCTTCAGTAGCCATAAATCATGACAGCCACACTAAGGGAAACCAAGACACAATAATTAGTGACAGCTGTCAGGCTGGCCCACAGCTTCTTTAAAATATTGCATATTCTCCATCCATCAGATACCCCAGCTTATACAACATAAAAATCTAGTGTTAGCACATTTCTGTTATTAAAAATGTGTTACTCCTGTCCACAACCATATCTTCACCCAAAACCACAGCCTGACCTTCCCCCACGGGCTGCATTAAAATGCACTTTTAGAAGTAAAGTTCCTTCGTGAGCATGGAGACCACGCAGGGAATCTGCTTCTTCTCACTGAAGCGGGGATCGTCCGACTGGGACTCGAAATTCGTGGCCACCACGTAGTTGACCCGAGTGAGGATCTGCATGATCTCAAGCTGCTTTCCATGCTCATTTAGCACAGAGCACAAGGACTGCACAAACCAGGAGCCTCTTCCAGGATTTCTCCAGGAGTAATAACCTAACAGCAAAAGATGAGGAAGAAAATACAGGGAGTTATTTTTGATCTTTTGTGTGAAAAATTCTGGGCAAAGATTACCAATGCACACACAGAAAGCTGAGCTCTTAACTGTTGTGTCACATATCCTACTTCATTAAAGCTGAGAATAATGTATATTAACTCTCCAAACCTCACACTGCTTAAGTACCATTCTACATTCTGGCATTAGGGAATCTGCAAGAAGTAAACTTGCACAGGTTTCCTTTCTGAGAATAAGTATTGTACTGTAACAATTCCTCTTCTTTTCTGCCTTCATCGCACATTCAGCACAGCAGGACATGGAAGGGCAGGATTCCCAGGACACAGTACTGCCTTTGCCATCTGTAGTCTCCCTTTGCCTCTGCAGCCAGTGTAGAAGGGGAGGGCACCCAGTGTACACCAGGCCTTTGTGTTTTGTCCATCAGTGCACAGTGTATCATCAGGGGCTCCATCTCCAATCCAGTCAGCATGGATTGTGAATTTTCAGGCTTCTACCCACATCTTGACCCTCTTTTCCATACCTGGCACCGTGGAATAAGCAAACAGAAAATCTGCTTCTACTGGGATTTTGTATCTCGGGTTGGCATCTGTTTCCAGGGTGTCATTGGCAGGTCCAGAGTCAGTTTGTATACCTTCATCAAATTCAGAGCCTCTGCAGGCCTGAAAGCAGAACAGAATAGAATGTTTCCAGTAAGCAGAAACAAGGTGGTATAATAGTAAGTATTCATCAAAGTTTTTTTATGGATTTGGTTCTAAGCAGTACTTTGAATGTATTAAAAGCAGAGATGCAATTCTGGGGGATATCTAATTGTTCAGTGATAAAGTTACTAGCTTACCCTTTGAAAAATATACATCCCGTAAGCAGAGGAGGGCAAAGCTGTTGAGGCTGTACATCTCAGTTGTTTGCCAACAAGTGCCATGTCAGCATTGGTTTATTCTAACCATGAGTAGTTTTACCAGTCTAGAGTCATTCTCAGCATATTTTTTACACCTGGGAATCTCGGAATCTCGTAAATAAATTATCTTTTAAAAACAAACAATAATTTTACCCACAGATACTTCTCTCAACATATTTTTTCAAAAACTTCTAGCAACATTCAGTAAGGCAAGCTACAGGGTTTTTCTAGGACAGACAACCAACAAAGCATGTTTTCCCTGCTGCAGCAGTAGGACAGTGTATTTACCTCAGGGCTATTACCTGAATGAAAAACAGTTTGGGTTTGCCTATAAGGCTTTTACACTTGTCTCCTCTGAACAGTGCAGTCAGACTCTTGATAGCCATGGGTCCATCTGTGCCATAGATGAGCCCTTCTTCCCCATGGCTTAGGAGGATACAGGCAAAACAGGCAGCATCACTGTGGTTCTCCTCGGCAGCTACAAGGCAAGCACTTCTGAGTCAAAAGGAAGCCACATTTTAAATGGCAATTATGTTTAGCAAACACATTTTTCTGAGGCTAAATATACACTGGGCTCCTACTGTCAGGCATTTGAAGGAGTGGATCATCTTTTAAAATGTGATGAGTACATGGATACATCCTCACCTGAGTCTGAGGTTTGCCCACAGGAATCAACAGGCTGAACTCCTGATCTAGTATGACACAGCTCTCCACCTAATACACAGGACAAGTGTTTCACAAGAACACCGTGCATTTCTGAATTGATGCTGGGGGATGAGGTGGGGAATTAAGCCCAGTCCATTCAGAAAACAAATCCTTTGTACATAAAATTATATGTATGTGGCCTAAGCAATCTGCTCTACTTTAACCTGCTATGCTCAGGGAGCAGATTCAGTGACTTCCAAAGCTCTGTTCCCCTCTAAATTATTCTACGATTCTGAATTTTTACCTTTCTTTAGTAATTTTTCCATATCATCACGGCTTCGGTCATGGTGTATATCAACCTCAAACCCTAAGTTTTTAAAACTCTTGGCAAGGTCTCCAGCATCTTTGTCGGTGCCATTGCGTGTGCCCATTCCTGCCGGAAAACAAAGAACATGGTTGACTGCACGTTACACAACTCAAAATGATTCACGTGTTCCAAGGCAAATGTTTAAGTTTATCATTGATAAAATTAAACAGTGTCTCGGTGACATATTTCTAAAACAATCCT